GGTTCTATTTTAAAAAAACGATTTTAGATTCATATTAAACAATTGAATAATTTTTATCTCTTAATTTGTTTCTTTTTTTGAATTGATGTTAAGTATGAATCGATAATAATAATAATGAAAATGTTTAAATGATTTATACTATACTTCTAATTCTATGCTTTTTACTTTAATTAAATCTTTTTCTATAATAATTTGTAACAACTGAAGTTATATTTTTTTTAAGTTCTAGTAATGAGACTTTAAGAATTACAGAGATTGATTTCTATTCTCTTCTAAATCTGTTGAATTTATACTGACCTGATGGAAATCGTGTTCCACTAATAACGCCGATACTAATCGTATCGACATCAGTCAACATATTCCCATTTTGATTCAATGCATCACCAAATAATTCACAATTCGAAGTTGATCGATGAAAAGTTGCTGCTTTGCATTGACTTTGAGTTAAACAGGTTACTTGACAACTCCTAATATTTGATGTAATAATATTAATGAATGGCAAACAAGTTGTATTTGCACATTGAAATTTAGAATTAACCATTAAAGACATTATCATTGATTGTGTATCTTCTCCCATTATTTGTGTAATAATCATAAATAAAATCCATGAAGAAATTCTTCTTGAAGCCATCACCAAGTGGATATTGTAAGTCGATGAAATGAATGTAACTCATAATAGAAGACAAAGTATTTATAGAGCAATAAATTCTATTTTTTTCTCTCTTTTCAGAGGGTTGTGCATCGTTTTCTCCAGGAATTCATTACATTAATTTAATTATAAAACAATTATATCTTCTTTTTCTCCGATTTACTCTCATTAATTTAATCAAAAGGCAGTCGCGACTTCTTCTACCTAGAATTGATTTAATCAATCTAATGGAAAAAACAGTCTCCACATCTTTTCCCATGAGTTCATTCCATTAGTGTAATAGAAAAACAGTCTCGATGATTTTTTCCGAGAATTTATTTCATTAATCTAACAGAAAAAGAGTCTCGACTTCTTTTTCCCAGAGGGTGTGGGTGCAGATCAACGAGAGACATCCACACCCAAAAGTAAAACAATAGAGTTTAAAGTAAGGGGAGGAGGGGAAGTGTCTTAATGCATATTAGAGTTATTTATTTTATATCAAAGAATTCTTCTAAGATAATAATATTCGATTCTATCAGCTGTACACATGATTTGATGCAGATCTATGATATTATTTCGATAAACAAATAGTTGTATAGTATGACACTTAAGATATTGTAACCAATGAGATTTTTATTCTATAAGATCTTCGACCAATTAGTTGAGCATTTTGAGGTTGCAATATTGTATTTTATAGTTTCTAATGAATATGTGGGGTGAAGTTGTCATTTATGATATCATTGTTTGCTCTATTGTTAAGTGACGATTCATGATTAGTAAATCTATTGATGTCTAACATCGGGTCAATCATCATTAATCTCTGTCTTTTTCTATTAGAATAACAATAGATTTAATCATAATACTCTCAAGTTGATATTACTTCAAAGTAAGGAAATAAACAATCATTTCTAAATGTCAATTGTTATATAATTGCTAGATGAATATTGTATTGTCAATAAATATTAGAATCCCTATATTCATGTATAGCATATTCGTCTGAAAAAATCAAGTATCCTGTAGAGTTGTGCATGATATATTCAAAGTTTGAAAGATTATTTCTCGCACTTTTATTTCAACAAAATATTAGAAGAAGGAACAGACGTCATATGAAGTTAGTTGTGTAGTTTCTCTAATGTAATCACGTAGATGCTGTTTGTTATTTACAGAACGAGGAAGTTCATTTTTTTGTTTCAATGCACTTTTAATTTGTGAAACAGCATCGTTTGTATTATTGTAATTATAACACAACACGTACATGACTTTAGACGTTCTCTGCTTCTATCGTTTCTTTTTTTCAGAAAAATTGAACAGATATTCCCACTAATTTTTCTTCTTTTTCTGTATACACAAAACATCATAGCAACATACAAATGAAATCAAAATATTTCCTGGATGAATATTTTTTATCTAGAACAAAAAGAGTTTTGAACGCGTTGTTATACTTCATGTTACAGACACTGGAAAATTTCAAATTTAGTGAGTTTGACTTAGGAGATTGTTCGTTTTCTTTTAGTTCTGTTGGTTAATCAAACAGTTCACTAGCTCATTGTCTATTTAGATACTAAAGATTGGCTTTATTCTATATGAATGACGTCACAGTTTAGTGTATAATCTGTGAGATATGTTTGAATTCATCTGTAACTAAATGCTGAGTATTGTCTTTTCAAATTCAATTTTGTTAGATCGGCCATTCTTTATGTTTATCCTCTTCTCAGATCGAATGTTACGACCTCCATAAACGGACTTACTGTTCGTTGTGTATCTATTAAATTAAACTAAAATAAAATAAAAAGAACGAGCTATTCCGCAGCTTGAATGATTATAGTGACCACATAAGATCACGCATGGTGATATACGATTGTATATGAGAAAGATATGTTTATCTTTTCATTACTACGTATTATTTCATGATCTTTGTATATCTCCTTTTTTTCGTAAACGGTCGTTTACGACTGTACATGCGTCCCCAAATAACAGATAAGCATAAAAAACATCTTTCCGAATGAATAAATCCTTTTCAAAACAAAAAAAGCCAGGACTGTGTTTTTGATTAAATTAATGCAATGAATTCCGCGTGAAAAAAACGTCGGAAATGTTCTTCCATTAGATTGATAAAATGAATTCCGGGGAAGATACGTCGGTACTATGTTTTCATTATACTAATGAAATGAAATCAGAGAAAAATAAGTGATGCCTGTCTGTTGATTAAATTGATGAAATAAATTCCTGGAAAGAGAGAAGAAAATATGTGGGTGTGTGTTTGGGTGTAAATGTCTATTGTTCACTCATCCACACACGTACACCAGGGATGAGCGATTCCACATCGGAATCGAGACCGGAATCTGGAATCGGCAAGTCTGATTCCAATCCCAAGATACAAAAATTTTGGTATCGTTGCCATTTCTGGTTATATCGTTTTAAAAATAAAATCTTATTCTTTATTCTTATACATATGAATATCTCCTGGTTTATCGGAAATACAATAGGCACATAGTTATCATAGTAAAACGGATTTCAATGATTTCAAAGCATTACAAAAATAATTTAAAAAAAGCAAAGATCTAGTAATAATTGCTAATAACAATTAAATGTTTTTTATATAAACGAAAAGAACGAGTAGAACTCATATCATACAAAATATAGAATTTTAACATAGCTGATTCTGACGCCGATTTTTAAAACTGATTTTCATGATTCGGATGCGATTCTAAAAAACTTATTATCAGTTCTAATCTGGTTCCAAACGTAAACAAATTAAATTTTCCGATTCCGATACGATACTAAAAATAAATAAAAATCTCTATAGGCCGATAACCATGCTATTCTTTATCAAGTTGTCTTCGACAATAGTTAAATCAAATTTAGTGGAAACAAACTATCATTTTTCATCAGTACTCGAATTTTTTTCTTATTCAATCTGATGTTTCCACATACCGAATTAGAAAATATCGTTGAGTACATTTTCATTCTAACACAGTTCATCTGCAATAATTAAATTCTGAGGTTAAATTTCACGTTATTTAGAATATGTTGCTGTAGGATATTTATTAATTTTACTTCCTTTTTTAAAAAACATTTATTATGAATAAAATACGCATTTACATGGAAAACATTCAAAGTAATATAACGTAAAAATATTAATCAAGTTCATTATTTGATATAGTTGATACAATATTAAGCGGAATAACTTGATTTTGATGAATACAATACCAATTTTTCCATCGTTGCCAACATCTTTTCACTAAAACATATTTCACTTGACGACGGTATTGTAATGATATTGCAAAAAATATATAGAAACTACTCTAAAAAAACATTCATTCTATTTTATTGAAACTAAACAATGAATACAACATACCTGATAATTTAAGGAAAACAAATACTTAAGATTTGTTTGAAGAAATAATCCAATTGTGTATTGTAACTGATTCGATTTCGGAGGAGGATTATTGATACTATAAATACGATAAATTGTATATGGTACTGATAAGATAATGAAAAATAAAACACGAGTCAAAATCATTGCTGTCATTTGCTGATCTAATCGACGACGAATAATGGGAATTTGTCGACGAATTATACGACGAACATTTCGAAAAGCTAATAAACTAAATAAAAATGCCACAGCAATTTGTACAGGACCATATAGAAATGGATAAAAGAAATATGTTGAATATGTAGTTAATATTGGATTTGTAATAATACATCCAAACAATGGTTGAATATTAAGAAAAAGACTAAATGTTAGACTATGAATAAACCAAAGCCAACTAGAAATAGACATTAGATATTGAACTAGTTTCAATGTGAACAAATGTCTATTAGAAAAATGATAACTTGTCGAACAGAATTGATCACAAGCAGCACAACATATTGTAAAAAATAAAATAAGTGATAGACCTTGATAAAATATGAATCTCATTCTACACCAAATTAAGTTGTTATCACTAAGATCATATCCATATGCTATTCGTAATAATACATTCGTTGTGGAAATAAAAAGAAAAATAAGTGCTACAATTGATTCAATAATAATATAAAGAGCATATCGATTGTTACGAAAACGTTTCAATTGAGTAAAAACTAAAAGATTTAGAATATGACCAAAAATTCCACCACTGATTGCGAGATAATTTAGATAGACGCTATATTGTCTGATAGTATTTAGAATATCGCCAATTGTTGATGATGATGACATTATACTAACTTTGAATTACTTTATATTATGAAGCGAGTCAAAAAGTATGGAAAAAGAAAAGACTGTAAGCACATTATAAATTAACTCAAATATCTAATAAAATTTTCTTTCATAAAAACATCCTCTTGGTTTTTCGCTGAAAGCTAATTAATCTATCGATTGAATAAAAATTTACAAAAAAATATCAAATGAATATTTTCATTAAGAAATAATTAGAACAGATAACAGATGCGGTTGAATAAATGATGGTCTATGTGTATTTGTAGCATAACTTTTGCAACTATCATCGTACCGAACTAATTTCTTTGAATATCATCATTGTTGTGCTTGGAAAGTAAAAGTTTTTGGGACGAGTGTATAGGTGGATATGGATGAAAAATAAGTAGAATATGGATATTGACAAACTCAGTGTAGGATTTGGAAGTCTTATTATCTCATGATAATCAGTAGAAATATTATCCAGATAAAGCAAGAGTAATGAAGCTCCACAATAGTTTACTTGACAATGCACTTCATACTAGTAAAGGACGAAAAATCATTGATAACTTTATATACTGATGATAAAAATATGTGCTTACCTGCTTTAGAAAAATTTAAAAATTCAACACAAAACATGAAAAAAGTGTATATATATGTAATTGTGAAGGGCACTATGACTAGAAACTAGAGCACTAGTAAAAGTCTAAATAAGTTAGAGCCATACATTCGCATGCTTAACGTGAGATTTCAAACGCTCAGTAATACTGAAAATAGAAAATGAACCTGAGTTGCCATTATTTTATGAATTTGTCGTGCAGTTAGGTTGTCGTGATCATTTAAAACTATGCTTGTTGCCATATTGAGAATTTGATAAGTACAAAAATTAGCGAAAATGATACGTATAGCAGAAAATAGATATTTTACATGTCAGTGTCTCGTATCTATGACAAATTGAATGATCAATGTTCCCTTTCACATTACTACTTTCCATTTTAGTCCTAAAATGAGCTTAAGTAATTAAGAAATAATCATATAGAATGCTGATTGTATGTAGCTTTTCCTCGATGATATGATGCTGCCATCTATATTTTCTCGTTCTTCTCCTTTTTGGTCGTTCCCAAATTTTCGCTGGTTGTGTTTCTTAACCAATATATTTTTTTCCATATTCTCTCATGTGTTTAAAATGAAGTACACTCTAAAAAAAATGAGTATTTGTTACCATCGGAAACTCTTTCAGGATTTTCCGAATAACTCGGAAACCACAAAAAACGTTTCCGAATTGTTCGGAAATCCTAAAAGAATTTTCGATAGTAACAAATACCCATTTTTTAAGAGTGTAGTACTAATTTTTGAAGAGATTCTTATCAAAAGCGCGAATAATAAAGTAATTGATTTTTGTTAAAAACCTATGTTTTTCGTAACAGTTTTGTACTCACTAGTTACTAAATTATTTCTCACTGCTTTACCTCTGAAAATTATCATATTCATCTTTCGGGCTTTCACTCTGATTGATTAGAGAAAACAAAATAATAGATTTTGTTTTCTTTTCCTTTAGACACATGACGTTGTTTTCTCTAGTTTTGACACTGAATAGGGTTTCTTTTAGGAGTATAAGGATCGATTTGAAAAAGTCACACGAGAAACTGGTGAAACTCGTCGAGTCCTACCTGGAACCACTTCGTAGACGTATTATGATCAAAGATATTTCGTGTGTAAATGTATGAGTGTGACAGAAAATATTAGAAAGACTAAGAAAATGAGAGCTTCTGAATAGAGACACATAATATGAATGTAAATTTCTCAAAAAACCATTTTCTTGTCATTACGTAGGGTTTAAATGTTGGACGACTTCATATATTACATTCATTCATGGACACAGAACGAGCGACTCGTGCTGGAAATTTATTAAAAATAATTTATTTACTAACTCCAGAGCTTCATAAGTTCACGGTGAATAAATGTCAGAATATCAATAAGCGACTTTGTCAACCTATACCCCAACAAGACTTTCTCGAAATACTTCATTTTATCGAAAATAATTGGGATGATGTATTTATTCCACAACGCTACTATACACAACGACAATGGAGAATTATATACCACGCTAAACGCGCAAGAAATCGACTCTGTCATCAAGACTTCCTAGCAATGCACTACCTCGGTTTACTACAGAAACTGAGAAGCTTAGCTTTAATGATTAATAGCGACCAAGAATTAATCGATAAAATCGACGAGGACTACCGGCAAGTCAGTGGCAACCAAACTCCTTTACCGGATGATCGCAGAGATCGATGCGTCGCTCAAATGGAAAATATTATTGTTACGCCCCAAGGTTACGACCCTCCATCGATAGACGATGTTCTCCAATGGAACACACCCGCAGAAGCGATTGAATACTATTCAGAACAAATTTTTCGTAACACGAATCACGCTGCATCATATTATCAACGCGCAAGATATGAATACAAATTAAAACAATACGACATAGCATTGGAAGATCTAGAAGATGCTGTTACGCTCAATGACTATGAAAAAACGTATACTGACTCCTGCAACCGTCTGTTGTACCAATTAAAACGAGACACAAGCTTTCGGCCACTATTTTATCGAGTCTTCTACAAGTTTACGTGGTTCTTTCGTAAATTATTTTTCCTGGCTAGCGCAGCGGACCTTAGTGCTGAACAGGCAATCAACCAAATACGTAGTTCAGATGAGGCAATTGATACTGGAGCATCTTTTTATTATGGGGAGGATGATTTAGAGGAGAACCTCACTTTGGCACAGATATGCTGGTTGAAAGTTAGAATGGAAAATGATCATGAAATATTTTCTTCGAACCAGATTTAATCGAACCCTTTTGACACTTCCATATTCGAGAAATCTTCGCTTAAAAGTTTTTGTAGCATATGTTCTTTTAGTTTTAGATTCCAAAAATGGAAGTGTATAATTTCAAATGCATTATAAAACTCCTCTTAGTACTTGTCAAAGATTTTTATCGGTCATTATATTAAAGGAAAAAAATTCTTTTCGACTAATTGCTAGGTTTGGATGTGACTATGACATTAATCACTCACACCTATCCTTTAACTCTCTTTTTGTATATGGCTTCTCACAAGGATTACATAATCAAAACGTTAGATAATGTGTACAAGCAGCGCGAAGGCTATACAACGTCAGCTGGAAAACAAACAATCTCTGGAATAGGATAATTTGTTTTAACTGTTCCGAATTCCCATAGTTATTAACGAGTGTGTGACAAGCTACCATGACGCATTTCGAGCTTGCTTAAGGATCTCATCAAATGGTGGAATTTGATTTAAATTTAGGAAATTTGGAATTTAAAATTGCTATCCGACGACGATGTCATGTTTTCATAAAGAAATTGATGGAGTTGAGCGTGTGGATGTGGGTGTAGTAAAGAGGAATCCAAAGACACATCCACACCTACATCCTCAGTTATAACACACTAAGTCTACTGATGCTTTCGGTAATGATGTATTGAATAATTTTTTCTTTAATAGTTGTCATAAAAATGTAGTCGAAGTTTCGTTGTTTCATGAGTATCTACTATCGTGTAAGCGTAGTTGTGTATGAGATGCAAACGCATTATTTATAACTATATTCAAAATCTGACATAAGAATGCGAATTCTAGTGTAACGCATGGTGTTGAAATAATAGTATCGAACTCAAGTACTTCATTATTATGAGAGTGTACGTCTCGGTGTGAATATGACTATTGGTATTGTATCTAATCACTATCCATGCCCTGGAAAGATGATTTTTACATTAACGAATATTTCTATTAAATATTATAAAATTTACACGAATAACTAAAAACATAACGCATCAAACAGTTTCTCATTATTACACAAAAACAACTTTAGAGCATAAACGAATAAAAAATGTTTGTACGTAAAAAGTGGCATTATAGTTAACACTTGCTTGTAGAATATTTTACATATCTGTGGTTTTTCATACTCTAAGTATCGAAAAAGAAAAAAACATCTTATTAAAGAGTTTATTTCGATGTATTGAAAATGATCCAATCTCGTTCAATTACAATAACGACATCCATATTGAAACGAAATCTCTACAATTACGAAGAGAATACTAACTATGCAGAAATTTTGATTTGAATAGATTCTCTTTCTGTTAATAACGTTAAAATACATAACATGTTCTTTTCGGACGAAAATATAAACATCCTCGCGATCATCGTCGCCGACTAGACGGCGAACGGAAAAGAAAAGTATGTTTACTATTCGATTTTGTTAACAGAGAAAAACGAATTATTTATTTATCAATTTTCTGATCAAAGATATATGAGATAACTTATATTTTTAGTTAACAACAATGGCAATGATAAATTTTATTGAGAATTTCTCTAATGAAATTTTTTATGAAATATTTGATTATCTCGATGGTTGTGATATTTATAGAATATTTTCAAATCTTAATTATCGTTTTTATCAACTTCTTAATTCTTCATTACTTTTATATAAAATTAAATTTCATTTTACATCGGATGATTTATTTATGAATAATTATCAACATATGAAATATATTAATCCACATCAGATTCTTTCACTTAATTTATCATCTGAATTATATATTGACAAATTTCTATCATCATTTAACATCAATTCATCACTTAATCGTCTTCAATCAATTTATCTTCAAAACATTCAAGCAAATACACTTTCAGTACTTCTCACGAATTGTACTCATTTACCACGTCTTATTTCATTAGATATTATGTCATGTCATCAATTAATAGATCTATGTCAAACTTATTTATTAATTTTTAATTTATCAGTATTAAAATATCTGAAAATAACATCTCATGGATTCAAGAGTTCTGCCGCATTACCATTTGCTATGGAGAATCAACAATTGAGTATGATTGAACATCTTGTTATTGAACATGGTGTTACATTCAACGATCTTGCTGCTATACTTTCTTACACATCTAACCTTAGCCGTTTGACATTTTTACATGATGATGTTGAAAATGATCTATCAACTGAAATAATTTCATCAATGGATTTATCCAAATTAACACATATATCAATGACTATAATATATTTAAAGTTCGATGAATTCGAAATATTTCTAAGAAAATTACCTTGTACTCTTAAAAGTTTCAATTTGGATGTTTGTGAAAGAGACTTACAATACCTTGATTTTGATATGTGGGAAGAATTAATTCTACAAAATTTTCCTCAATTAGAAAAGTTTTATTTCAATTATAATGTAACTACACATGACGAAGATGACTTTATCTTTTATGATTGTGTATGTGATCAATTTATTTCTTCATTTTGGATAAAACGACAATGGTTTGTTGAAGTAGCTATTAAACGTGACACTATTTCTATTATTATTAAACCGTACAGGTATGCTGATAAATCATTTTACAAACAAAATTTTATTCTTACGAAAATATATCATCTGATTGTTTCTTTTAGACAAAAATGGTATGAATTTATTAATATTGACAACAATGATTTTAATGTTTATCATTCAACTCTACTTACTATTCGATATAATCCTATGGATGAATATCGACAGACATTATTAGATGAAATCGAATGGATTGTAGATGTAGCAACAATTTATCATTTAGAAATTTGTGAAGAAGATTTTTTTATTGGTGCTATAATCGAAATTATGAATCTCTTATCTGATCTTGATTCATTAAAACTATCGTCTATCAAATTACCAACTACAACATTATTATCGATTGAAGAACGCGAAGAAATTAATTTTATAGTAGATAATAATGAAATTACAAAAGTTTATCTTGAAAAAATGAATAAATTTGATGATGTTCTTTTTCTTATTGATCTATTTCCTGAACTAAAATATCTTCAAATTGGTTGTACAAGTGATATTGATATTAATTTATTTTTACAAATTATTTTAATGAAAATTAATAATAAAACAGATTCTAATCTTCATTTATTAGCCATTTCTATTCCAACAGCAGATGATTCTATGATGGAAAGAATACAAAATATAATCGATTCTAAAAGTCTTCTTTTTAATTACACAATTAAACGTACATATGATACTATTTTCTTACAAATGAAATAATATAACTTATTTTTTTTTCTTTTTTATAAATAAAATCTAAATGTAAACTTTGTTACAATTTTCTCAAAATCTTATCTTTCAAATTGTCTTTATTTGTGCAATTATTTATTATTGTAATTAAAAAATTTTGGGGATACAAATGTTATTGTTTGTGAACAATTATTGATACTATCTTGATGAGTGAGTGTGTGTGTGATCTGACTAGAATGTGGGTGGGTATAAATATCTGTCAACATAGAAGTCACACCCACACTCTATCAAAACCTTTTGCTAGGCTTAATTTAACATTTCAAAATTCTGCAATGCTCTTTTTCAATACTCATTATTGGATTTCTTCATGTTTTGTATTTATTATTTTAAAAGCTATGTATATCTATAAATGAACTTTTTATTTGATTAATTTTTTCATAATTTTAGGCAGTGAAAAAATTATTAGATCAAAGTGACCACTTAATTTTTTTCAAATAAAAAATTTATATTGATTCGAAAAAAAATGTTTATTTAAAATGAAAATTATAGGAAAATATGCTCTAGATAATAGTATGGGTGTGGGTGTAGGTGTGAGTGGAAAAGAAAAATAGGGTATGGGTAAGGGTGACACTCTTCTCTTCGCCCATACTCAAAGCTACACCCACACCCACCCTCTTTCTCTCTCTTCACAAAACAACATTAATTGCACACCACAACCATTGTTTTATTTTTACAATAAACTTTAGAAAAATTACGGTTTTCTTATAGAATCTCTTGTTAATATATTGAAAGTAAAGTGAATAGCATAAAGTTCATTGAAAA